AGTGCAGTGCTCCATGACGCTCAATGACGTTCCGATTTTTGGATGTGTTTTTACGCATTGATCATTTATAAATGGCTATAAAACAGTAATATGCCCTCCAATTTAATTAAAAATTTCTCCAAATGACGTTTCATGAATACTTTAGCGACAGGTAAAATAAAATAAATTTCTTTGCGCTACAATTGAGCAATTTTTTAATTTAATACAGTCTTTGTGATGTTTACGTGCCAAAATGTAGCATGCTCCGTGAAGCAAGTTTTATCAAAATAAAAAAGCTGTATATTTTTCAATGATCACTGGAGAGTACCAAATTTTTGTATATTTATTGGAAAACTGGTTAAAATTTTATCTCGAAAGTTTGACCGGTTTCGTGGAAATAGCGCGCTCACAATAGAACTTGTCCGCGAACTTTTCTAACACCCCTCGTAATCATGATATTCTGATATGAAAATTGTGTTCATAGCCATATGTTATGTCATAATAAATACAATTTATAAATTTATTTTAAAAAAACCCCAACATAACCCTTATTTGACCTTACTGCAACAAAAAGTGGGAGGAGGGGGGAGGGCAACTGGCCTTATTATGAACATTCTCAATAGTAGTAAAAAGTTATGTTTGGGAATTAAAACATGGGGTACAGGCTCCAGTCTGTCTGTAAACTTATTACAGCTTTGACTTCTTCTCCAGAACCACTGGGCCAGAAAAGATGAAACTTATGGGGAAACATCTTCAGGTATTGTAGATTCAAGTTTATTCAAATCATGACCCCACTTACATAAGAATATACGAGGGCTGTTCGGAAATTATTGAGACATTTGCTGAAACTCTATAAAGGACAGAGATAAGTTCATGAAAATTTGTCAACATTTTATACAGAACGAATAAAACAGTTATGCAAAATTTCTTATTTCTATGGTTATCAGATAAGTTCTGGTGAAATCATACACTTGCATGTGTCCATTGACCTGGAGCAGCATCGCTACGTCATTTTAATGTCACTTTAGCCAGAGATATTTTCGCATGTAAAACGATCGAGAAGCACTTAGTCCGTTTCTTTGTTTGTTTTTAGCTCTACTGGTCAGAGACCAGAAGAGCTTACGCAATGGAAAGGTGTCCGTCATCCGTCCGTCTAGCTGTCCGTCTGTCTGTAAACAATTTTTCAAAATGCTACTCCTCCTACAATTTTAGTCTTATTTCAATATAACTTGGTACACAAGTAGAATACACTAAAATACATAAACTAGTGCATCAGTTTTTGATTTCGATGAACAGTGTTGCCATGGTTACTAAAAATAGAAATTTTTGAGAAATTCCTTTAAAATGCTACTCCTCCTAAAATTTTGGTCTGATTTCAATAAAATTTGGCACACAATTAGACTACACTAAGATACATAATTTTATTTATTGCTGCCTGTTGCAAAGTTTGAAACCCAATTGCTACTTTCCTTTGTTAGCTTATACATACAGATCAGTAGAGCTACAGTCTCATCAGAGACTTCTGGTTACATATAACATTACAAAAATTCAAACCAATTCCCTTTTTTCATTTACAGATGCTGAATTTCCCTGTATTCATCCTGACAGCAACAACAGAAAGTGTGTATGATTATGAAAGGGGGTGTTTGTTATTTGATGTCCCTCTCAAGAATTTTTAACTTGTAGAAGTTGCCACAACTTGCCGGTGGAGAGCTACAAATTTTGTCCTATACTCGGCAATGAGGTCCATGAGCAGTGAGGGATCTTTTTTGTGCCAAAGCCTACAGTAACTCTAACATGGGACCTTGTTAAGAAATAGTCTCATCAAAAGGAAATGTCTCCACATCTCACAGTGCCAGGATAAGATTGAACCTGCGATGTTAGGATAACCCCTTACTTCACAACTCTAGGGCAGAGGCTCTAACCACTTGATTTACCATGATAACAAAATGTGCAGTAAATGAATAAATATTACATGTATTTTTAAATATTTACATTTCCAATGTCTTTTTCCGAGATAAAATTACCAATTGTAAATGTAATTGATTTCCTCATGAATGTTTTGGCGCGGTTCCAAAAAAACCACGTGCAAGGCGGGACAACACCTAGAGAGAAGCAGGCTTGGAGCCCGTGGATTGGCGGAATCAAAGCATGTAAATATAAGGAATAACTGTCAGATTTTTCGAATTCATGAAGATGATCAATGGATTGGCTTGTGTGATAATTTTATGCATAAACGCCTTCGGCGTTTATGCAAATTATCACACAAGCCAATCCATTGATCACTTCATGAATTCGAAAAATAAGACAGTTATTCCTTAAATGGAATACATTGGATACATATATTGATTACTATGTAAATGATAATGATTCAATAAGTCACAGTATAATATGGCAATAACATATGCTGTATATGTTATTAGGTCACCTGAGTAAACTCAGGTGACCTATTGCTATCTGTTTTTGTCCATCGTTGTGCGTCGTGCGTTATGCGTTAACATTTGAACATTTTCAGCTTCATCTCTGCAACCACTGAACCAATTTCAACCAAATTTGCCAAAAAGCATCTATGGGTAAAGGGGAACAAAAGTTATGAATTTCATGATCCCTGCCCCCCTGGGGCCTGAGGGTTGGGGCCAAAACCACTAAAATTAATGCAATCTTTAAAAATCTTCTTCTTTACTCCTGGACATCAAGCAGTCAAACTGTTTGCATGATTGTAATCAGCATTGAGTCCTCTACCAAAATTTTGAAATTCATGACCCTGGGATCAGGGGTTTTAGTGCTAGGGCGGGGCTAAATAAGTATACAGTGAAAATGCATTATTTCTTTGAAAATCTTCTTCTCTGCTGCTGGGTATTAAATAGACTAACTAAGTGCATAGTTATGATGAGCATGAGTGCCTCTACCAAAATTGTGAATTTTATGGCCCCAGGGTCAGGGGTTCTGGTGTAAGGGCAGGGCTCTATTAATTGTATAGTGAAAATACATGAATTCTTTGAAAATCTTCTTCTCTGCTCCTGGGTATTAAATAGACTAAGTACATAGTTATAATGAGCAAGAGTGCCTCTACCAAAATTGTGAATTTTATGGCCCCAGGGTCAGGGGTTCTGGTGTTAGGGCGGGGCTCTATTGATTATATAGTAAAAATACATGAATTCTTTGAAAATCTTCTTCTCTGCTCCTAGGTATTAAATAAACTAACGAAGTGCATAGTTATGATCAGCAAGAATGCCTCTACCAAAATTGTGAATATTATGGCCCCAGGGTCAGGGGTTCTGGTGTTAGGGCGGGCTCTATTGATTATATAGTGAAAATACATGAATTCTTTGAAAATTTTCTTCTCTGCTCCTAGGTATTAAATAAATTAACTAAGTGCATAGTTATGATGAACAAGAGTGCTTCTACCAAAATTGTGAATTTTATGGCCCCAGGGTCAGGGGTTCTGGTGATAGGGTGGGGCTCTATTGGTTATATAGTAAAAATACATGAATTCTTTGAAAATCTTCTTCTCTGCTCCTAGGTATTAAATAAACTAAGTGCATAGTTATGATGAGCATGAGTGCCTCTACCAAAATTGTCCAAGGGCCCCAGGGTCAGGGGTTCTGTTGTTAGGGCGGGGCTCTATTGATTATATAGTGAAAATACATTAAATCTTTGAAAATTTTCTTCTCTGCTCCTAGGTATTAAGCAGATGAACTACCTATATAGTTATGATGAGCAAATACTTATTTCAACAATCAAGAAAAAACAATAATATTGTTTTTAATGAAATCTTAAAATATTTAAACAATTACTTTATTGTTTAGAAGAAAAATTTTCAGGAAATATATTTTACAAAAATAGATGGTCCAAGTGGAAATGTCTTTTTAAATTGTGTCTAATAGTAACTCTTAATATAATTACTGATTGAATATGCATTGCATATTGCGTAAGTTTATGTTTATGTATATTATACGTATATTGAAGTGTATCTATCCTTATGTATGTATACTAGATGTTTATAAATGTGTGTGTATTTGTTTGTTTTTTTTCCAACAGGTATGAGAGTGGGAGAGAGAGGTGTATATGTCTTGCAATTACTTAAATTAAAAAAAAATGATGAGCAAGGGCCCTAATCTTCCAGAATTGTGAATTTCAAGGCCCCAGGGTCCCAGGTACCATAGAGGGTGGGGGCTGTACTTATATACTGAAAATGAATGAATTGTTTGAAACCTGCTCCTTGGTATTAATCAAATATTTTTGAAAAGCAAGGATGCCTTTTCAAAAATTGTGCAATGTGTGGATCTAGGCCTAAGGGTCAGGGGTTCATGTGTGGTAGGGGCACTACTGATTATTGCTGAATATTACTGATTAGTTGAAATACATGCTCAGGTGACCTATAAGGCCCATGGGCCTCTTGTTTGATAATATATAGTACAAGCCAGAAGTGTTACAGACAATTAGGGAAAATGACAGGAAAAATGAATGTAAATTTCAATGAGTGTCACTTGACTTTCATTTGACTTAAAAGCCTCTAAGGCCATTTCACTAAAAAGCTGTCCAAGTAAAATTTACATCCAAAATTTTTTAAATATCAAAACTTTTCTCAGAAAAAAGTGGAGAAAGTGGGAAACAATATAATTGTATTCATCCCTTCCATCTTGACATCTTCCTCCTCATATAACACTGTCTGGCCTGTTTTTTGAATTGATTGGTGTTTTTATTTTTAATTATTCCTTTATGTCACAAAAAGTTAGGATTATTTGCATCCAGTTCGACTCCCCAATGTGAAATACTTACCTGAATGCCAATGTATAGATGTACAACAGTTATAGCGCAAGTTGGAGATTCATTATTCTAGATAGGATACACTGAATAAACTGAAAATAGAAAAAAAAAAAAAAAGCAGCGTCGTTCCATTTTGGATCTCTCTTTTCTCCCCAGAGCCCAACTATCAGTACTTTCAGTACCTTAATTATTTCTTAACATTCATCTCAGATTTATGTTCACAGCACTGCGGCTAAATTATTTTATTTCTTAGCATCGGAATGAATATGCTCTCATTAGACAAGTTTTCTAGAAAATCTTATACAAGGTCTTATCTTGTCTTCGTTTTGGATCAAAATCTCTTGGGGTCCAAAATGCACATGATCGAAACCTCTAGGAACGACCACCCATGCAATATTATTGTGGAACTGCTACGAAATGCAGCTAAGGATTAAATTCATGTAAGTGCATTGTTTGTCTTTGTATGTCTAATAATTGTTTTTATTCTTTGAATGACAAATGGTACAAATCATTGTTGATATGGTTTATTTTTCCTAACAGGGGACTAGCCTAGCTTAGTAGCTAAAGTCGGTCTACAACGAGGTCGAGGGGCAACAATAAATAAGTAAACAGATAGCCTAAATAATAATGGGCCTTAGAGGAATAAAGGAAAAATGAATATTTGCACTTGTGTGAGAAATGTGGACAAAACAAGTGTCTTTTTTATTCATCGAATAAAAAATAGTCAAATAAATATGAACTAACCCCATACAATATAATATTTACAATATAAGTAGTAACCATGGCAACAAGAAAACGTTTCAATTTTAGAGGCTTTGTGAAAATATCCCTTGTACTACCGCAGTCACCTTTAAGACTGCTAGGAAGTGAAGTAATCTTGATTCAGAACGTTTAATTAAATATGACTGATAAGGTGGGGGAGCCTCTTTTGATTTTTCTCCCCTTTTATATCGTGTCATTTAATGATAGAAACAGTAAAATAGCCTAGCTTATAGTTTTTGAAATGCATGCACAATGATTATCATGAATTACTCACTTTTCTTGTAATATAAATCTATAAAAAACGAACATAACGGGAACATATGAATAATGATGGGTTACATTGGCCTAAAAGCTTTGCTCATGCAGTGATGTAGTGCCCATCCGGTTATTGAGAGGTCTCTGGGTTGAGACCCAGTATGGCCAAGATTTTTCCCTGCCTGTTATATTAGGCGATCAACAACAAAATCCAGGGATAGTTTAGAAGAGTTGTGTTTTGGGTTTTCAAATGGACAATTGCATAAATTTACTTTTTAATTTAAGGTCAAGTTCTAGTATTAATGCCAGTACAGATTTATCAAATTTGAGAAATTAATTCCTTTAATGATGCTTTACAACTTTAGCTTGGTCAAATAAGGTGTTTTGGGCATAATTTCATTATTTGTAGGTAAACAAAATGTAAAACCATATCTTAAACTGTCATTTTCAATGAAAAATTTAGAAAACCATGCAGCCATGAATACGGTTTTTTTTTCATGTTCGACAAAGAAAGTGTATCCAGATTGCCTACAGTCTCTCAGGTAACAGTAATTTGTATGTTCGTGGCCTTTTCTTTAAAATGATATGAAATTTAGTATAGGTATCAGGATTATATTTTCATATGATTTCAAGTTCAATGCCATGAAAATTCATCACACTTTATTTGTAATAGTTTCTTTTAGTGAGCTTTTTAAAATCACTAAAATTACATCTCGCGAAAATAAAAAACCCCCAACTTTTAAGGACAAATTAAATTGCTAAATTTGCGTCTTGCTAAAATTTGTACTTATACTGTACAGTATTAGTTAATTGTGGGACTTTGCCTTATATACTTAAAGATAACATTTGTTGAGGTGAGCTCTGTAATCTCTGAATACCTATGTTTAAATTTAGAAATATATATTTATACACAGTTGTACAGGGTTCTCCATGCATATTGAAAGTTTAATTTAACCATGCACAAGTTCATTTCCGTCCATCCTACTTGACTTGCTTTGGATACTGGACTTGACCTACATTTTCCAGATAGCACAATCTGGTTAAAGTTTCTAGGCATGCAGGCTCTCTGATTGGTCTAGATGCCTTTTCCTGAGATGTACCTCAGAGTGAATTCACCTCATATGGGGTTTATTCAGGTTTTCCTTCTTGACCAACCATAGATTTGCCTACAGTTTTTTCGACCAATCAGATTGCGTGTTTTAAAGCATGTGTTGGTGTGAATGTAAACGGCTTGATGAATTTTCATGAAACTTTCAGGACTTATATATCATCACTTGAACCTTATGTGTTTTTTTCTTTTTTGATGACGTCACTTCTGGTCCTGAGATATTGCTGAATTACTGAATTTTAAAGGATCGGGTTGTCCAGAATTTTTCTGAGAAATGGGTGGGTTGAGATAGAAACATGAAACTTTCAGGTATGATAGACCTATGTCTGTAGATATGCCTTTCCCATTTCGCTTTTTCCGGAAACACCGAACGTCAGGGCTCGCTATGGTCCAAAAAAAGTCCTATCGGGGACTTAGAAATTTTTCACACCTTTTCTGCAATATCTTTTTACATGTTAATATTTTGTAAAGACATGTAGAACAAAAGTTGTAAAGAATGTCACTATCCTTCAATGGAAATCAATGATAAAGGGCTGGCCCTATAATTAAGGGCTGAGAGGGGCCAAAAGTTTTTCCTTTATATCTCAAAAAGTATTGAGAATTTGTAATACGGCAAAGAAGCAAAGTTGTTCAAAATGTCAAGCTTAATCTATTGGGGTCGTCAAAATATGTCCAGCTATGCACTTCCGGTCAAACTGGAAGTAGTCAAAAAATGCATATTTTTGCCGTTCTTGACATGCTTTTGGGTAAAAAATGTCACTGGAAGCATAAAATTTAATTCCAGTGAAACCGGAAGTAGTAAAAAATGGCTTTATTTTGCAATAATTAACAATCATAGATTTGGAGGATTTAAACCATTTTTGTACATCATTACTCATTTTTTTTGAAAAATAAAACTTACTTCCGGTCAAACAGGACGGAAGACCTACTCTTTGCTTTGCAACAAGCTTTGCTCTAGTTGTATGTTATTTTTGATGGAAACAAGAACAAAAATGTCAAAAGTGTTGTAAAATTCCTTATCATTTAATAAAACGGTTATTGATTTTTGAATTCAGTCTACTCGTGACTATTATATGGACCTGGTCAGGTATTGGTTAACCTCAGCCTTCGGCCTCAGTCAACCAATACCTGACCAGGTCCGTATAGTCAGGAGTTTAGACCTCATCAAAAGTCAATAATTGTATAATAGAATCAACCTTGCATTCAATATTTATTATACCCCCGCTTGAAAAGCAGGAGGGTATATAGTAATCGGCATGTCCATCCATCTGTCTGTACGTCCATCTGCTACGCTTTGGGGTACCCATCTCTTATTCGCAACTAGCTCCTCTCATACCACTGAACGAAATTTGTTGAAACTTTCACAGAATCTTTATTACATAAATTGCCATTGTGCACCTCCTATTTTACTTTTTGATCTGACACATAGCTACACTCACCGTCAATAGAAATGCAACACCCTGATTTAAGGGATGAAGATTATATACAGGATATAACTATGTACCAAAAAAAGTTAGGAAATCTTTTACTTTGCCAAATCAGTTATTTAACGGTTGAATGACTTTCATTCCATGACCGGAAGTTGATGTTTAGCTCCCTGGACAGAAATCAAAATTAGCATTTTTAATAAAATTATTGACATATTTTGGGTTTTCAAGGTTTTGTACCTGTTAATTATAAGTCTTGTACTAAAAGTCAGGAAAAAATATCCTTCTTTCTCTTCCGGATGTGATGCCTGTATTTCCTCAAAGTAACTGAAAGCACGCATTTTCATTGCTAATGTTGGAAATTTTCAAAATAAAGAAAAGGGAGAGTACAGATGCAAATATACACTACATAACGACTTTTCGGGCTCATGTGTTTCAAAAGCATGAATGACGGTTCCTTGACCGGAAGTCCAAGGGTTACTACACTACGCCAAGTTAGAGAAAATTCGACCTCAGTATCTGAAAAACAGGCATTTAAAAAAGGACAAGAATATTTATTTCGCTCAGATTAAGACATTGATAAACTTAATGCATGGTAGAATTCGGGCTGCTTATGTTGTACATGGCGGACTAGCACGTTTTAATTGAATGGTCGGAAGGGGGGATGTTTTAGAGTTATGTGTTACTTTATAAGGTTTAAAGATAAGATTAAGAATGAATACATGAATTTAAAAAGTAAATTTACAAAACAATGATACTTCATTTAAACTTTAAATGTTATCTTTAGACCTTAGAAAGTAACACATAACTTTTAAAACATCCCCCCTTCCGACCATTCAATTAAAACGTGCTAGTGCGCCATGTACAACATGAGCAGCCCGAATTCTACCATGCATTAAGTTTATCAATGTCTTAATCTGAGCGAAATAAATATTCTTGTCCTTTTTTAAATGCCTGTTTTTCAGATACTGAGGTCGAATTTTCTCTAACTTGGCATAGTGTAGTAACCCTTGGACTTCCGGTCAAGGAACTGTCATTCATGCTTTTGAAACACATGAGCCCGAAAAGTCGTTATGTAGTGTATATTTGCATCTGTAGCTCTCCCTTTTCTTTATTTTGAAAATTTCCAACATTAGCAATGAAAATGCGTGCTTTCAGTTACTTTGAGGAAATACATGCAGGCATCACATCCGGAAGAGAAAGAAGGATATTTTTTCCTGACTTTTAGTACAAGACGTATAATTAACAGGTACAAAACCTTGAAAACCCAAAATATAGACAATAATTTTATTAAAAATGCTAATTTTTTATTTCTGTTCATGTTCAGGGGGCTAAAAATCAACTTCCGGTCATGGAATGAAAATCATTCAACCGTTAAATAACTGATTTGGCAAAGTAAAAGATGTCCTAACTTTTTTGGTACATAGTTATATCCCGTATATAATTTTCACCCCTAAAATTAGGGTGTTGCGTTTCTATTGACGGTGAGTATATTTTGGGTTTCCCATGGCAAAATATTGACACTGCCATTATATTAATATTTATGCCATCTTCAAAGAAGGGAGGGCATATTGCTTTGCTGCTGTCTGTCATTCTGTCGGTCCACTAAGTTTTCGATCATTTTCTTCACATCCGTTGCACACACTGAAATGAAATTTGTTATGCAGATATATCAGATGAATATCTAGTTCAAGTTATGTTTGGGGTACAATAGCGCCATTTTTGACAGAGTTATGCCCCTTGGACTTAGAAAAATTCCAATTATTTGCAGTTTCCGTTCATTTTCTTCACATAGGTTGCACATACTGAAATTAATTTTAGTATACAGATTTATCAGATGAATATCTAGGTCAAATTCTGTTTTGGGTACTATTGCGCCATTTTTGACAGATTGATAACCTTTTGGACTTGGAAAAATTCCAATTGGGGGGAGGGGGGCATAAGTGTTTTACAAACATCTCTTGTTTTGTCTTATTTTTATTTTAGAGTTACTTCCCTTTGCCCATCTGAGTTGTTTACATACAGTATATGAGCAAAACATGTATTTTATAATCATATGGGGGGGGGGGGGGCTGTCGTTTAGTGAGGTCAGTGCTCACAGTACCTCTAGTTTATTGATGATGTCTTCTGGACATTTTTTTTATGCTGGATTTGACCTATGATATGAAGATGAGTGACCAGATTTAAGTTATTGGAGTAGAATTATTTCTAAGAAATTATATGTTCTATTAAAAAAAAAAAACTTGCAAAAGATGATGCATCAAGAGATGCTCACTTCCAATGTTTCTTCAGATGCTGAATTTGATATTCATTTTCCAGATAAATGACCTTGTGGAGTTTTTGGAGCATGTTCTTTCTTTTTCCACTGTAACCTCAAGCCTTACATAGACCAAACTATTATGAGTGATGCATCAAAGAATCAACACTCTTAGACATATTTCTCTGATTTTAGTTTTTCAGAGTTCTTTCAGTTTTTAGGTCACCTGAGTAACTCAGGTGACCTATTGCTATCCATTTTCGTCCGTCTTCGTCTGTCGTGCGTCGTGTGTTAACATTTGAACATTTTCAGCTTCTTCTCTTAAACCACTTAACCAATTTCAACCAAATTTGGTATACAGCATCTATGGGTGAAGGGGAACAAAAATTGTGAATTTTATGGTCCCCGCTCCCCTGAGGGGTGGGGCCAATACCACTAAAATTATTGCAATCGTTTAAAATCTTCTTCTTTCCTCCTGGACATCAAGCAGGCAAACTGTTGGCATGAATGTTTTTTATGAGCATTGAGTCCTCTACCAAAATTGAAATTCATGGCCCCAGGGTCAGGGGTTCTAGTGCTAGGACGGGGCTATATAGATTATATAGTGAAAATGCATGATTTCTTTGAAAATCTTCTTCTCTGCTCCTGGGTATTAAGTAAACTAACTAAGTACATAGTATATGATGAACAAGAGTGCCTCTTCCAAAATTGTGAATTTTATGGCCCCAGGGTCAGGGGTTCTGGTGTTAGGGCGGGGCTCTATTGTTTATATAGTGAAAATGCATTTATTCTTTGAAAATCTTCTTCTCTGCATCTGAGTATTAAGGTAGGATTCTTCTCTAGTTTCTAACTAGATGGAATATTCAAAGTACAATTGTTGATATGTCTCATATATATTTAGATGTAAGAGATTTAAAATATCATATTTTTCTTTCCTCATCACAATTATACAACTTTAAATAGAAATGGTAAACTGCGTTTGAAAACTAGCAGGGACTATATTTTTGGCGGAATGGTGGCGTATGAAAATATCTTCTTTTCTGCCTCTCAAAATTATTATAGAACATTGACTTTATTTATAATTTTTATGCAATCAAAGACTAGACGAAATTTTCAAATTAAGTTAAATTAATAACAAGGGACTAAAGTTTCAAAATATATCAAATAAATAAGATTTTTTACACATACTAAAACTATGTTGGCTTTTAAATGCATTAAATCTAAGTACAGATTTGAGCCAAAAATCCCTAAAGTGTTATTTCTCTCTTAGTAAATGATCAAAACTTTTAGTTTTTGTATCATTTTGTACCTTTATGTGACAACTTTACTATTTGTGAAAATTGGGAAAAGTTAAATATAGGAAGCATATAAAACTAACTAAAAAATCCTAAAAATTTAAGAAAAGTAGAGGAAATTCGGATTAGCAAATATCCATTTTATTAAAATCATCCATGTCAATTTGGTAATATTATCATGTAGGCCCTATATGGTAGTATATTTTCATGCAAAAAGAAATACATTAAATCTTTTGAATTACAAGTAGGGATCGCATGATTGGAAACAGTAATTTTTTATTCTTAATGTCCAGGAAAAAGGTAATAACCTTGACCTGACCTTGCCTCTAATATTAAACGGTCAAATTTAACCTCACTGATACCATCACTTAGTGATATTGTCCTCTTGATTCTGTGAAAATTTCATTAATTTTTAAATACAAGAAATGTGAGAAGAATCCTACCTTAAATAAACTAACTAAGTACATAGTTATGATGAGCAAGAATGCCTCTTCCAAAAGTGTGAATTTTGTAGCCCCAGGGTCAGGGGTTCTGGTGTTAGGGCGGGGCCCTATTGATTATTTAGTGAAAATGCATTAATTTTTTGAAAACCTTCTTCTCTCCTCCAGGGTAGTAAATAAACTATGAAAGTACATAATTATGGTTGAGCAAGTGTGCTTCTTCCAAAATTGTGAATTTTATGGCCCCGGGGTCATGGGTTCTGGTGTTAGGGCAGGGCTCTATTGATCATATAGTGAAAATGCATTAATTCTTTGAAGATCTTTTTCTCTGCTTCTGGGTATTAAATAAACTATGTAAGTATATAGTTATGTTGAGCAAGAGTTCCTCTTCCAAAATTGTGAATTTTATGGCCCAAGGGTTAGGGGTTCTGGTGTTAGGGCAGGGCTCTATTGATCATATAGTGAAAATGCATTAATTCTTTGAAAATCTTCTTCTCTGCTCCTGGGTATTTATAAACTAACTAAGTGTTATGATAAGCAAACGTGCCTCTTCCAAAATTGTGAATTTTATGGCCCCAGGGTCAGGGGTTCTGGTGTTAGGGCAGGGCTCTATTGATTATATAGTGAAAATACATTAATTCTTTGAAAATCTTTCCTTTGCTCCTGGGTTTTATGCCAATGATCCAATAATTAATATATATTTATGGTGAAGAAAGGTGCATCTAGCAAAATGGTTATTTTTTATGCCCCCCCCCCCCACATCCTGGGTCAGGGTGGGGGGTACATAGTCTGAAAATAAATTAATGCTTTTAAATCTGCTCTTTGGTATTAATCAACCATTTTATGATAAAATTTGCAAAATTTTGAAATATGTGGCCCCAAGGTCAGTGGTTCCTTTGGGATGATGTGCACAACTGGTTATAAAGTGGAAGTGCATTTTCTCTTTGTTACTCTGATCTACCTTTGGGTATTAAGTAAACAGAGCATGCTAAGTCTATAATTATGATAAGCAATGGTGCCTCTTTCAAAATTGTGAATTGCGGATTTCATGGCCTCTGGTTTAAAACACAAACCAAATATAATTGTTTGAAAGTTGTGACACAATACTCAGGTGACCTATAAGGCCCGTGGGCCTCTTGTCTTTTGAGTCTATTGTTCCCCAAAAGAGACATGTTCTTAAAAAGACTAGAGCTATCTGCACTGTAAAAGTTAATAAGAATATGAGTTCTTTTTGTTCTGTTAATGTAGACACTAATTTACTTTTCAATTCAGTTCTTCCTCAACCCACACAGTGCCTTATTCAACTGCTGATCTTGTCTATGGCGTTGAAACCAGTCAGTCTGACATAGTTGAAGGGAGATGCAACAGTTTTGTTGATGTAGCTGGAAGAGAATCAAGAGTCTCATCTTGTGAACTGAAAGAATCGGATTACAGACATTCCAGTGGCAGAGGAAGACGTGGAAAATCTGTATCTATTGAAAAAGGTAGGCCATTCCGTAGAATATAAATGGTTCCTAAAATATGTGTAATAAAAATAATTTCATGCATTCCCTTTTTAGCTTACCTGAGCCGATGGCTCAAGTGAGCTTTTTTGATCAAAATTTGTTTGTTGTCTTTTGTTGTTGTCATTGGCATCGTTGATGAAACTCATGTAGAAGCATCCTCAGGTAGTGAAGATTCAGATCTGTTTAAATCATGACCCAAGGGTTAGGATGGGGCCACAATGGGGGGTAAAAGCTAAACATAGGAATACATAGGGAAAATCGTTGAAAATCTTCTTCTCAAGAACAACTAGGCAAGGAAAGATGAAACTCATATGGAAGCATCCTCAGATAGTGTAGATTAAAGTTTTTGTTCAGATCAAGACCCCCAGGGGTGGGCTGAGGCCAAAATGGGGTATCAAAAGTTTACAGGAATACATAAGAAAAATGTTCTCAAGAACAGCAAAGCCATGGTTCATTGATGAAACTCATATAGATGCATCCTCAGGTAGCATAGATTCAGGTTTGTTCAAATCATGACCCCCAGGGGGTAGGGTGGGCCCAAATGGGGTATCAAAGTTTAACATGGGAATACAAAGGAAAAATCTCTTAAATCTTCTTCTCAAGAACGGTAAAGCCATGATTGTTCATAGCTATATGTCAGCATCCTCTGGTAGTGTAAATTCAATCATTTTGTTCAAAGCATGACCCCAGGGGGTTTGATGGGGCCAAGAACAACAAAGCCATGATTGAACATCAAAATAAAAGCACCAAAAAAAAAGATTTGAGTTTGTTAAAATCCCCCCATCCAAACCACTTTTTTTATAATGTAAACTTTTTATTCGCTAGGATCCATAGATCTGGGGCGTATATTGTTTTTGTCCTGTCTGTCTGTGTGTTTGTCTTCAAACTTGAACCTTCTCTATAACTTTTGAACAATGAAAGATAGAGACTTCATATTTGGTATGTGTTCTCCACTAATTAAGCTCTCCAAATGACACCAAGGCCAATAACCTTGTGACCTTGACTGTGACCTATATACTAAAAATAGCTTTTTGTCTGCAAATTTTAACCTTCACCATTACTTTTAACCATGAAAGATAGAGACTTCATATTTGGTATGCATACTCCATGAATTAAGTCTCTCTCAAATGTTACCAAGGTCATTGACCTTGTGATGTTGACTGTGACCTACATACTATAAAAATAGCTTTTTTGAATCTTCACCATAACTTTTGAACCATGAAAGTTAGAGACTTCATATTTGGTATGCATACTTAACTAATTAAGCTAAAAATTGCTTTTTTCAAACTTTGTTGCCGCCAGGCGCATAGTGTTTTACAAACACATCTTGTCAATCCTGAATTGATTTTTGTTTTTACCTAGTTAGTTGCTCATGTGAGCGATGTGGCCAATGGGCCTCTTGTTCATGATTTTTTCAAGATCATAACACTATTTTTACGTTTGTTCATAAATATATGGCACATTACTGGCCTAATTTCAAATATGACTGCTGCTAATTTTTATAACCCCGCTTGAAAAGTTGGAGGGTACATAGTTATTGTGATGTCCATCCGTTCATTTGTCTGTCTGTACATGCTTCCATCTATACGTCCGTTTGTTAAGCTTTGGGGTACCCATCTCTTATCTGCAACTCTTTTCATACACTGAATGAAATTTGATGAGACTTTCACATAATTTTTATTACATATTGCCATTGTGCACCTCCTTTTTTACATTTTGATGGGACACATATTTTGGGTTTTCCATAGCAAAACATGGACTCTGCCATCATAGTCACATGGGAGGTGGAGGGTGTCATGTAATGAGCTCATTGCTCACAGTATCTAGTTTCAATTAAAGCGACAGTATGGCGCATCTCTTCAAAAACAGACTTGTTAAAATTTTCTGATAGGATTTGGTATTTTTTTTCATACTCATAAATGTATACACTTTCAGTAAATTACAATTTAATAAGTAAATAATTCTGATTATTTCATTAGATTTAATAATTATTTATGGTACATAAATATATACATCGCAACTTGTTCGAGGTTCCACATTCCAGGCTATACACACATGCTTATAGTTTTCATAAACAAAACAACATGGTAAGAGAAGGAAGCCCGGTAGGCCTGCTATATTGACAAAGTCGCCCAAAACGAAAAACAAAACCAAAAATAGGGCTTGAAATTAAAAAGCAACTTTCCTGATAAAATTTAGTTGGGAGATTAATATAATCATTGGATGAAGAAGAAACGGGATCTCGGCGACATATGTGGGGCTCGCGAAGGTTCTACCCTACAGGTTTGTTGATACATGTACATGCTATCATTTCTCATATCTCCATGGCTTTCAAAGAAAAAAAATCAGTATAAACTCAACATAAAAATGCACTTATGACATATAAGATTATTGCCATTTTAAGTGCAAATTGTATTGGAACTACAGAAACATATTTTGTTTGACATTTTGCCGCGATGACGTGTGATTTGGTGGATTTTCCTTTCCTGCACCCCAAAACACAAAACGTCAACATTTGTACTTAATCATGATAAATTCGTCTGAATGCAGACTAAAATGTTAACTATTATTAATTTACCGGAGAGTTAAGATATTTTGATTCTGAGAATTGCTTTTACCTAATATTCCATTATAATTGTAAACCCTACATTGTATGCACGTGCCATTTTAGAATTCACGTACGTGGTACAAGTAAACAGATCTAAGTTGTACGACCCTTGATTTTCTGGCAGATTCTAATTAAGTTAATTTTGTATGAGGAGAATATATTAAATGCTTATTTCAACTTTTTACCTTATTCCTGAATGATATATTGGGTAAATTTGAATGAAAAAGCACATGATTTGCAGCCGTATTGCCACTTTAAGTTATATTTGTTTTACATAATATGCTTGTACAGTGCCTTAGAGTTTAATATATAGGGCACTTTTGAAATGTTTAATAAAAATAATAAATAAGCGTGTTTGCTTTAAACATGTTTTATACTGTATCTTGTTTTATATTTGTTCTTCTTTAAATATCTTTTCAGTTAATTTCTGCAAGGAAACTGATGATAATTTTGGACCCCCTGAATTTTTTCCTCCAACGAAACATATCCAATGTAGACCAAATGCAGTTAGGAGCAATATTAGAGGAGATCCTATGTACAGTATGAGGACAAACAGTCTGGCTTCAGGTATCTCTAAAATCAAGGTTTCATATTCTATTCAAAGGGCTCTATGCAAAATACAGTAAAACTCGTTTAGTACGAACAGGAATATAGCGAATTCACGGATGTAGTGAAGTTTTTCAGGGTCCTCAGCATATCTTTGCCTCATACTCAATCGTCTTCCCCCGTTATGAGATAACAGCACATGCTACACAGAATTGTCCTCAAGCGGATATGTGGCAATCATCCAATTATAGAAACGCCAAGACCCGTGTTTTTATTGCAGTTTTTCAGATCCCTTTGTGTTTATACTGGTATAATTAATTGAATTGAAACTGACATGATAACATGGAAATTAGCTCGAAATCAAGTTTAAACTATTTATTTGCTTTAAGAATTTAATTTTTAAAAACTTACGACATGCATATTAAAAAAATTAGGTCATCAAAATCATTTACATTTATTATAATAATCTCTGAAAAATTACATTTACACGTGACACCACAATTAAGTTCAGGCCATGTAAAAATAATTTTTTAAAAAGTAAATTACTTTAATTTTTTACTCGTGAAAGATTCACAGATTGTCTCAAGCTTCTGTTTGAACGGACTGGTGTGCGTTGATGAGCCACCTCACATGACTTGACCTCAGTGTTGATAATCACAGATGTATGTATACCGTTTGTGTTGATGGAGTTCAACTTCATTCCCCCTTTTAAAAGAGTTTATTTGAAGTTGATGTATGTAACCCTCAAGAATTATTTCATGATAATTCATATTTTTGTGAGCTGGTGAGAACGTACCGCATACGTACATGTATAATGTTCCGAGTCATTTTTTTGTTTTTGTTCTCTGAAAAAATTGTATATTCATAAGGCAGACAAATTTTAGCAAAATAATAGTATTTTTTTCTCATATATTTAGTGCAGGTTACAATATATATTTTTGGCATTCAAAGAACCCAGGTAATTTTTTACCCGTGGATCAAACTGATGTTATGATTCCGCGGAATTATGACTCCATGGAAATAACTACGTCTACAATATTAGGTAATATTATTGATGGAAAACTTGCATATTGCGAACTCGCTGTATATAGTTACCAGTATACAAATTCATTATATGGATATAATGAATTACGGATATAGGGAATTAAATTCACAGGTCCCACAGACTTCATTATAATCTAGTTTTACTGTACCAGTAAGTCTGTCTATAATCCAGTGATAAGTTTGGCCATCTTTGACCCATTTTCACTTAAGGACATCGTAGTATGAATTTTGTCTTTTCCCCTAACGTTGAAGAATTCCAATAATTAAAGGAACTGTGTGATGCATGTTTAATTGTCTATACATGCTGTTGTATACTACTACTGAAACAAATTTTGGTAAACAAAACATCTGGAATATGAGTTGCGTCAAGTGAAAAGGGACCATTGTGACCAAATTTTCGAAAATTGGTTTTTCACCGTTTCTGAAAAAGCAGTTTTTCTGAATATTTTGATACCAAATGTTTTGTTATATACCTTTTAAATTCTTATTAAAACTCGATATGAAAACAATGCAATGCTTACAAGATAACCCTGTAAAATGTTGAATAATGTAGCATAACGTCAATGATAACTGGAGGATCATTACTAAATCACCCTTTTGTATTAGTTAGAAATTATTTGTTTTAGATGTAATTTCAAGTTTTTTCAATATGTATTTCTCCAAATATTAGCATTTTTATGATTGTATACATTGTACGAGGGTTATCTGGTGAAATCATGGACAAGTTGTCTATAGTGAAAAATAATTATCACTATGTTCTAAAATTTTCACTACTCTTCAGAACAAATTTCATCAATATGCACAGCAAATTTCAAATAAATATTTGCATAAATAAACAAATTATGACATTTTATGTTATGTACTGTATCGTCTTATGACGCACAGATTATAGCGTCAAAGTGTCTAAAACAGCGTCACGTTTCCTCTTTGCTAGAAAGAAAGTTAGATAAGTCCCACTTCAATTTAAGAATTTCATTAATACACATACTTAAGTTTCTCTTCATTCCTCCATAAACAGTTGATGAACCAGTCTGAAATGCACAATGCGATTTTTTGAAGATTTATTCGTGAGTTACAGACAGTATTCTCACTGACATTAAACTAAGTTGTAAACCAAGTATTATACGCGTGCGATAAATATCCGCGAGTTCCGCGAGTAACCTCTTTTGCGGATATTTATCGTCGCGAACCAGTTGTTCATTTTCCCATGTTATGATTAGAGTTATTTGCCCTTTTTGAATACCGATCCCGAGTTAGAGATAGCCTGGTCAATTACGACTAATTATGGCCCAGTCCTGTTCCGTCCCAACCGTTTATAATAATTGCCCTTTGGCTATGTAGATCTTGTAAAGCGTCAATTACCAAATTAGCATGAAGTACATTTACACCTGAGAGTTTAAAATCAACTTTAATCTCCTCGATTTTTTTCCCGATTTTCATTCAAGCGTCATGAATAATGCGTAAGAAGTATACTCATGGTAACATTTTATCTACTTTAGGTGCGGATATAAGATTTTAAATGGACGCAATGCACAGAATGTCTTGAATGATAATACGTAAGCAGTACTCACGATAGCATTTTACCTAGTTTATGGGTGGATATAAAATTTTAATTTGATACAAAAAAATACTTGTGGGAATAAAAAATGACGTGTATAATAATTGGTTTACAGTAATTAGGCAATTAATCTGATATCCACGTTCGACAGTGAAAGCGTCTTTCGTTATTACCGTTCAAAGTATTGTTATTTCTTTTTTGCTATAATCAGCAAACCCACCTCCACAAAAACAAACCCAGAAGGCAGTACCTTCATGTATTTTTAATGGAATGATACAGTTGTACTTCCCTGAATTAATGATTTTTTAGGGAATAGGTGAGGTGCAATTTTCATGCATTGCTATTTTTTACCTTTCAATTATTTCACACTTATTTAAAAACGATGTCCTTCTATTTTATTTCAGTTGAAATTTATATTGAAATGTAGAAAATCTGCATATTCAAAATAGAACATGAATTTTATTTAGCTTATTCTTTTTCTTAGATGTTATCTTGTAAAATGAAAGTAATATTTTTAAGATTGAGTCCATAAAAATATCCTTATATAGTTACTGATATGATTGAGATTGACCTGTGAAGCTTGTATATTTTTCTTGTACTTTTGATATGTAAGCCCAACTATCATACTCATATTTACAATAATTCAAGCAAAACAATGATTAAATTTGGTTCCTTCACATTTTTAGGTCACCTTAGTCACTCAGGTGACCTATTGCTATCCATTTTCATCTGTTGTTATGTGTCGTGTGTTAAGGTAGCTGGTCTGTACTTTCAAAATTTTCTGTCAAACTGATAATTTTTTAATTTGAATACCTTGAATAAGTCAAACTCACTCAAACACTAATAAAAGACATATCTTTGCAGGTTACCTTTCATACAACAAACCTCTAAAAATTCAACAGCCAAAATTGAATATAAAAAAAGTCTTTCAGAAAAAAAAATCTAAAAATATCATTGTTTTTAATAATTCTCAAAATCTAAACTGTTTATGTGCCAATTTTTTCTTTAAAACTATTAAGAATTATATTTCAGGTTAACAAAAACAGTTACGTGTTAGGATGGCCCTCCTCTATTGGGGGAGGGGGGTACATAGTTTGAAAATATATTAATGCCCAGGGTCCGTGGTTCCTTTGGGGTGGGGTGCACAACTGGTTATAAAGTGGAAGTGCATTTTCTTTTTGTTACTCTGATCTACCTCTGGGTATTAAGTAAAAAGAGTAGGCATGCTAAGTTTATAACTATGATAAGCAATGGTTCCTCTTTCAAAATTGTGAATTTCATGGCCTCTGGTTTAAAACATGAACCAAATTCAATTGTTTGAAAGTTGTTACACTATACTCAGGTGACCTATAAGGCCAGTGGGCCTCTTGTTTTCTATTCTAATTTTGGCATTAAAGTTGACTGTTCAGATTTAAATTCTTATATAGAGACAAATTCATGGACGGGTTCATTGCTGGGATATACATCTGTCTTTTAAAAGCAGAATTTTCAAGATTGAGCCCATTAAGTGCCGAGTATAGAACTACCTTAAGTCAAAAAATGTAAATATTGTTGTAAAAATGTTCATGGAAGAAATTTAAATTAACATGAAAGAAGTGCAACTTGTTTTCTTTGTGAAGTATATAACAGAATATTGCCAATTTATGTATTTAAAAAATTTCAATAAAATAAAAAAAATCCTACCTAATAAGCTACCAATCCTATTTTATCTCAGTATGTAACAGAAAAGGAACATTTTTTTGTTTGGCATTATACTTAAACAACTTTTTCTAGACTTCATTTAATATCAACCAAAAGGAAATTTAAACTATGATGTAATCTCATCTGCTTTTTGAAGTGATCAAAGAAGAAAGTTGTGGTGTATGGATAACAGCTGCAGTATCATGTCAATGTATTCTAATATGATAAAAGGATTTATAAATGCTTTGAAACTGTGCAGCTAGTAATTAAGATACCATTTATTGATACAGTTCTTTATGAATTTAAATGCTACATGGTTGATTAAATTCTCATCAAGTATTAAATTTCAACAAATGGCACTAGAAGACATATTTATATGTTGAGTATTTATTTTGTAAGACATAACAATTAAATCTTTTTTAGGATCAAACAATGTGAAGGCTCTCCTTCAGATTTAAAATAGGAATAGAAACATTTCATTGTATGCTGTTCATCATATGTTTAAGTGTTAATGTATATGATGGCCAATTTTAGTATTGTGCTGAGGGATTTAGAGGAACAAGATGAGTTTCATCTGCCTAGAATCAATGCTAGTGTTATTAAACACCTTTTATGGTACAAATCACACACAAGTGAGTTAAAATTTCTATTGTTCTGCTAATTTTGAAAGCCATTATGACTCTTGGAGGTTAAACTTTTAGGGTGTCAAAGATGACTTTTAAGGATCAAAATGCATTCTGGTTCTGCTTTTGGTAGTAATACTTGCTATACATTGAAACACATACAGTTTTATATTGTATGTGCTTTTAGATTTTGAACAAGCACTCTACTAAGTTAACCCAGATTATTTGTGTTTGCATGATGAAGTATTATTTTAAAAGTCAACATGAACATGTACATGACTGTACTTGTGTATTTGTAGAGAAAGTTTCCTCAGTTGTGAAAATTAATTGTAGGGATTGATTTCAAACTCTTGACTCATCAATAATAGATGATGCCAATAAGTTGAATAACTGTTGATTTACAGATAATTCATGATTTTCCAAGAATGTTTTTTCCATGCAGCTGTTTAAAATTCTCTCTATCTCAAACTTGGAACATGGAGAGATTGCATAAATAAAGGGTGAATACCAACATTTTTTCAACTTGACCTATTAATAAAGTCAGGGTTAATCTTTTACCTGAAAAAATAGTCCAGGTCATTACTTGAGAAGTGTTTGCCAAAGGAAAGACAACATTTAAGACTAAATGCCTTATATATACATCAAAATGTTAGACCTTGACCCCTTGCTTCATTAAAGGTTAAATTATTAAAAAAACGAACAGCTAGATCATAATTGAAGATCATTTTTACATGAAGATATTTTGTACACAATGAAGTAGAGCTGAGGTGCACAGCATTATTATATTTGCCCCTGATCTTTATATTGAATTCATTAATTTTGGTAAGGAATGGGAGACATGTTATTTGTCAAAAAAACAAAAAAAACAAAAACAAAAACAAACAAAAAAAACAATACCCACTCGTTTATTATTATTGTTGTGCTTCATAATAATTCATAAGTGAAAAAAAATTCTCATAGGATTTTCTGACTGAAAAAAAAGAAAACTTAACAGGAATTTGTTTTTGTGTTTTTAGCTCACCTGAACTAAAAGCTCAAGTGAGCTTTTCTGGTCACCCATTGTCTGTTGTCCATCCGTCCGTCTGTAAACTTTTCACGTTTTCAACTCAAGAACCACTGGGTCAATTTTTACGAAACTTGGTAGAAAGCATCCTTGGGTCATGGGGAGTTTAAATTGTCAAACTGAATGGCCAAGTCCCCTTACAAGGGGAGATAATCAAGAAAGGGTATATAGTAATCGTTATGTCCGTCTGTCCATCTGTAAGTCCGTCCGTCCGTTTGTTACGCTTTTGGGTACGCATCTCTTATCCGCAACTCCTCTTATACTACTGACTGAAATTTAATGAAACGTTCACAGAATCTTTATTACTTATTGCCATTTTGCTTCTCCTATTTTACCTTTTTATTCGACACGTATTTTAGGCTTCCCATAGCAAAACATGGACATTGCCATTATACTCTTACCTATGACGTCACATATGGCAGCTTCTGAATAACATTTGATACGACGAGTTTTTCCTCTTTACACATTACCGTAAAACAATTATACAGCAAAACATGGACATTATGGGAGGCAGGGGGTATCATTTAGTGAGCTCAATGCTCACAGTACCTCTAGTTTAGTTTTGTTTTCAATTTGTCGTAAGACATTACACATAATCACATCAGAATTCAGACTGAATTTAATTATAAATGTACGAGGTTTATGTACAATTTAGCATGCACTTTGTATTAATCTACTTGATTCTTAAAGACTTGAAGTCATTTGCAAAGAATTATGCTGAAATTACACAATGTTGTCTTTGTGATGTAACTGATGTCATAATCAAATGTGCACAAAACAACTGCTCGAATCGTTGAAATTGTTTTCCAAAACTGATGACAAAAGCAAACCCGCGACCTACCTTAAGCTTGTTCGAATCCCTTCCCTCTCCTCTCCCCTAAGCAAAATACCTCTCTGAGTGATGTGGCTCCTGGGCCTCTTGTTTTTTTTCTAAAATTTGTTTACAGATTTAAAAAAACTTTAAAATCTATAAGGAAGAGGAAAAAAACCCTAAAGTTTTCGAAGTTGATGCAAATATATTTTTCTCGGTTAGAGCATGGCTTGCGATACATTCTGTTTTTATGTCCCATATTTAATAGACTGCCATGTTTTGATTTAATTATGGTTGTTAAAAATTGAGATGGCTGACTTATATGGTTGAACTGCAGGGGCGTAGCTTGAATTTAAGTTCTAGTGAGGCACAGCTATTGTGGCCGGGGGTCTGGGGGCCGCCTTAGGCCCCCAGCAGGTCCAGGACAGAGCCCTGGTGGGGGGTTCAGGGGGTCGAAGCCCCCCGACGGAAATCGAAGTTGTTGGTTTTAGAATGTAAAAATGGCACTTGTCCTGGACAGAAATTTCGTATTTTTTCCGGTTTTATGACTTGCAACATTCATATGATACAATAGGTACATACTGTATTTCAACATGTTCAAAGTATTTGATAGAGTAAAAAAAATGTTTATTAAAACTTTTTACTCATTTCGGGACAAATAATATATATTTTATTTACTTATTTTTGAAATATTTAAATAAAATTGAATTGGGCATTATTTGGAAAGATAATAAGATTATTCATTACTTTACAGTTTACAGGGTTTGTAAAATACTTGATGCCGATTCTAGACTTTCATTTTTCCTTTTCCATATCAAAAGGGTGTCAACTTTGCCTGCCCCTTGTTTTTGTGGTCCATATTTATTTTTCCAAAAGATACTTTAAAGAGCCCGATCTCACGAATTTTGACTCAGAACCACTACAATAATTTATAGATTTATTTAAATGATGAGAAATAAAACACTTATGTTTTAAGATTGATTGATTGTATACTGTTTAACGTCCCTCTCCAGAATATTTCACTGATATGGAGACGTCACCATTGCCGGTGAAGGGCTGCAAATTTAGGCCTATGCGCGGGACTTATGGCCTTAGAGCAGGGAGGACTCTTTATCGTGCTACACCTGCTGTGACACGGGGCCTCGGTTTATACGGTCTCATCCGAAGGACCGCCCCATTTAGTCGCCTTTTACGACAAGCAAGGGGGTACTGAGGACCTATTCTAACCCGGATCCCCACGGGGCTATGTTTTAAGAAATAAATTAAATATTTTCTGCGATGAATTATCAATCAATTATGGGAAGGGGAAAGTTGCTGAAAAATCTAGTGAGGCAGTTGCCTCATTGCCACAATGGAAGCTACGCCCCTGAACTGAATATTAAAATAAATGTTGTCTGAACCCTCCATGTTGTTCAAACACATAATTGGTTTTTCTAAAGATCAATGATAAAAACATTCTTTTTATTGGTATGTGTTAGTATACTTTGGATATTGAAAGCTTTTTTTCACAGGAAGAGATACTGAGGATTTAATTGCAATGGGAACAATATGGAGTCCAAATGCTCAAACACCTGCAAAACAGTTAAACAGCAGCGCAAGTAGTGCTAGTACTGTCACAAACAGTGCTGTTACAAACGTCACTGGCAGAAATATGCAAATGTATACAACACAAGGATCGAACAGTTCAACAGGAATGCCCCAGACTTGTAGAGGGCGCTACACCATATCAGGAATGAGACCAATACTGGTTCAAACATCAAGAAACTCCAATATGAAAGATGGTATTTGTCGAATTTTCTGGATTTCGTAGATGATTATTGAAACTCTGTTAAATGCTCGAATATCAGATAAGCATTAATTACCCTTGGTCCACCTTCTGTCTGTAAACTGTACTCAATATGCTAATCTTACTAGATATGTTGTCAAATTTCAATTAAGTACAGTTCAATAAACACTCATTAAATGTAGAGACTATATATACTGAAACGCATAAGAAAAGCAACAAGCAGTAATCTACAAATGTTTGAATTTTTTTATCTAATAATTTTCAAAAAAGAATACAGTTAGGCTAAACTCACTTTTCAGAACATCAGAGATTTGATAAAAATGTTAAATGTTTATCTTTTAACTTTACTAAGTAACATATGACTGTTTAAACACCCCCTCCCAGCCATTCAATTACAACGTGCAATACTGCCCTAAACAACAATTGCAGCTTAATTTCTACAATACAATAAGCTAATCAATATCAAGATCTGAAAGAAGGAATTATTCTTTGCCATTTTTTTAAATGACTGTTTTTCAGATGATTAAGTTGAATTTTCTCTAACTTAGCACATTGTAGTAACCCTTGGATTTCCGGTCCAAGGACTATCATTTAAGCATATGTTACATAAGACCCTGTTCAGGTGTGATATAGTGTATTTTTGCATCATCAATTCTCCATCACCATTACTTTGAGATTTTCTAGCGAGACAATGGAAATGCATACTTAAGCCATTTTCAAGAAGCCTTAGCATCGTTACGGGAAACGAAAGGAGATTTTATTTTTGGAAATATTGCTGCATTACTTAAGATAAAGATTACAAACCCTTAAAACTCCATAATATTGCCAATTGTTTAGTTAAACATGCAATTTTTTATATCTGTTAAGCAGACTCAAACTTGACTTCCGGTTATGGTATGAAAATTGTTGAACTGTTTAATTACCGATATTTACCAAATCAAAGATATCCATAATTTTGATATACAAAATTCTTTACTTTACAAAATTATTTCCCCCTTAAGTAGGGTATTGCGTTTCTTCTGTGTTTCAGTATACTAAGAAACATACATGCTAACTTTTGAAAATTGTCAGGGGAAGATGTCATAATCATAATAACATTTACTTCATATTTTTAGGTCACCTGAGTCACTCAGGTTACCTATTGCTATCCGTTTTCGTCCGTCGTCGTGCGTCGTGTGTTGTGTGTCGTGCATCGTGTGTAACCTTTGAACATTTTCAGCTTCTTCTCTGAAATCACGGAACCAATTTCAACCAAATTTGGTATACAGCATCTATGGGTAAAGGGGAACAAAAATTGTGAATTTAATGGTCCCTGCCCCCTGGGGTCTGAGGGGTGGGGCAGGACTGTTGGCATGAATGTAATGAGCATTGAGTCCTCTACCAAAATTATGAAATTCATGCCCCTAGGGTCAGGGGTTCTAGTGCTAGGGCATGCTATATAGATTATATAGTGAAAATGCATTATTTCTTTGAAAATCTTCTTCTCTGCTCCTGGATATTAAATAAACGTACTAAGAACATAGTTATGATGAGCAAGAGTACCTCTTCCGAATTTGTTAATTTTATGGCCACATAGAGTCAGGGGTTCTGGTGTTAGGGCAGGGCTCTATTGATTATATAGTTAATATGCATTAATTCTTTGAAAATCTTCTTCTCTGCTCCTGGGTATTAAATAAACTAACTAAGTATATAGCTATGATGAGCAAGTGTGCCTCTACCAAAATTGTGAATTTTAAGGCCCCTGGGTCAGGAGTTCTGGTGTTAGGGCGGGGCTCTATTGATTATATAGTGAAAATGCATTAATTATTTGCAAATCTTCTTCTCTACTTCTGGGTATTAAATAAACTAACTAAGTACATAGTTATGATGCGCAAGAGTGCCTCTTTCAAATATGTGAATTTTATGGCCCCAGGGTCAGGAGTTGTGGTGTCAGGGCAGGGCTCTATTGATTATATAGTGAAAATACATTAAATCTTTGAAAATCTTCTTCTCTGCTTCTTGGTTATAAGGAGATGAACTACCTATATGGTTATGATGAGCATGGGCCCTTCTTCCAGAATTGTGAACTTCAAGGCCCCTGGGTCCGGGGTACCATAGAGGGGGGCTCTAATTATACTCTGAAAATGAATAAATTGTTTGAAATCTGCTCCTTCGTATTAATCAAATATTTCAGATAATATAAGCTATGGTGCCTTTTCAAAAATTATGCAATGTGTGGACCTAGGGCCAGGGGTTTATGTGTGGTAGAGGCACTATTGATTATTGCTGAATATTACTGATTAGTTGACATGCATTTTTGTTCCCCTACCCTGCTTATGGTTATTAAGTAAACAAACTTAACAATTGCTAAGTGTATAGTTATGATAAGCAATGGTGCCTCTTTCAAAATTGAGAATACCATAGCATATCTAGCTTAAAACATGAACCAAATTCAAATTGAAAGTTGTTGCATGATGCTCAGGTTACCTATAAGGCCCATGGGCCTCTTGTTGATCAAAATCATTATTTGTCATATTCCGGTATCCTTTAACTTGTTAAGGCTCATAATTGTGTAGATTATTTAGGGACTATTTATAGGCTATATAATGAATTATTTCACTGTTGAAAATGTAATAAAACATGATATGAAATTTTGGGGGATTCTCATGCCTATCACCATACCATGTCATTGACAAATGATCTTATGTATACAAGTTATTGTCTATGACATCTTTCCCAGAAAAATTGGTAGGTACCCAGTATTCTTAAGATTAGCTAGATAATTTTTAGCTCTTCTGAACCGAAGGCTCAAGTGAGCTTTTCTGATCAAAATTTATCCGTTGACTGTCTTTGTTGTTGTCATTGTTGTTGTTGTTGTCGTAAACTTTTCACACTTGCATCTTCTTAAGAACCACTGGGGCCAATTTCAACCAAATTTGCCACAAAGTATCCTTAGGTGAAGGGGATTCAAGTTTGTTCAAATGACAGGCCGTGCCCTTTTCCAAGGGAAGATCATTATGAATAAGTGAAAAATTTAATGGCAAAGAACTCTATCTCTTGATTCCCGCCTACATTTTGCACTCATTAAATTCAATATTAATGGCAATTTGGCCATTAAATCTTTGTTTAATACAAAGAACAGTTATATGGTAATTGATTTATTATTTTAATTCCAGCGCTAAATAGTAAATTATCATTAATTCCAGCTCTTGAAAAAAGGGGGGTAGACGATATTTTCTAGTGAAATCGAACTTTCAAGAATCACCATATTTTGAAATAGTCTTAAATATGATAAAATGTATCTGATATCTTTTCTCATGTTTTACGCAAATAAATAAAACGTATATAAATTAATAAAATACAATTATTTAGTTGTAAATAGCTTTAAAATTGGTGAAAAATCAGCATATTTTTCGTTTTTTGTCTATAAACATATGTTCCCCCCGTGAAACACAAAAAGCTTTGGCATAAATTCGTAGAATGACAGTCCATATTACCAGTAAAAAGGAATTTCTGTTTCACGGGGGGAAAGATGTTTTAAAAATATTTTCCGTTTTCCGTTGATTTCTATAGTGAAAAACACAAGTTTTACCAAAATTATAGAGTTATCTCTCTTTGATATCCCAAATAAGTAACGTTTTATGAAAATTCATATAATTATCTATTAAAATTCTGAAAATCATTCGAATATGTTTACTATTGAGAATTGACTTAGAGGTAGGCGGGAGAACAATACTATCGTTCGTAGTTCTTATTGGCATATACAGTGTATTAAAAATCTTCTTCTCAAAACCACTAGGCCAGGAATGAGGAGAGATGAATCTCATGTGGAAGATCCCCAGGTATTGTAGATTCAAGTTTGTTGAAATCATGACTGCGGGGGGTAGGGTGGGGCCACAATGTAGCATCAAAGTTTAAGGTAGGATTCTTCTCTGGTTTCTGACTAGATGAAACATTCAAAGTATATTTGCTTATATGTCTTATATATTTAGGTGTAAATAATTTAAAAGACCATATTTTTCTTTCCTCATCACAATTGTACAACTTAAATTAAATAGAAATGGTAAACTGTGTTTGAAAACTAGCAGGGACGATATTTTTGGCGGAATGGTGGCGTATAAAAATATCTTCTTTTCTGCCTCTCAAAATTATAATAGAACAAAGAAATTAGTAATAATTTTTACACAATCGAAAACTTGGAGAAATTTTTAAATGTAAGTTAGATTAATAATGAGGGACTAAACTTTCAAAATATGTCAAATAAATATGATTTTTCAATCAAACTAGAACTTTATTAGCTTTTAAATGCTTCCCATCCAAGTGCAGATTTGAGCCAAAAATCAATAAAAAGTATTTTTTCTCTCTTACTAAACGATCAAAACTTTTTGTTTTTGTATCATTTTGTACATTTATAAGACTACTTTATTATATGTGAAAATAAGAAAAAGTTAAATATAGGAAGCATATGAAAATAACTAATATATCCTAAAAAATGAAGAAAAACAGAGAAAATTCGGATTAGCCTATATCAAGTTAAGTTAAATTATGTATGTAAATTTGGTAATTGCATGCTATAGAACCGATATAGTAATATGTTTTTATGCAAAAAGAACAATCATTAAACGTTTGAAATAGAAGTAGGTATCACGTGATTGGCAACAGTTATTTTTTATTCTTAATGTCAAGGAAAAAGATAATGACCTTGACCTGACCTTGCCTTTAATATAGAACGGTCAAATTTAATTTCACTGATACTATCACTTACTGATATTGTCTTCTTGATTCTTTGAAAATTTCATTAATTTTTAAATATTAGAAATATGAGAAGAATCCTACCTTAACATACTGGTAGAAATACATAGGAAAAGTCTTTTAAAAAACTTCTTTTTAAGAATCACAAGGCCAGGAAAGATAAAACTTATGTGGAAGCATCCTCAGGTAGTGTAAAATCAAGTTTCTTTAAATCGTGACCCCTTGGGGTAGGGTGGGGCCACAATGGGGATCAATGTTTTACATAGAAATACATAAGAAAAGTCTTTTAAAAA